TATATATATATATATATATATATATGCATAAATAAATATAGTTGTGTGTATATATAATATAATATATATATATATAATAATATACATATGCATGCATATACATAAATAACAGGCAATGGGTCCAACAAGGTAATAATTTATTATTATTTATTTATTAATTTAATTTAATTAAATAAATAAATAAATAAATTAATTAATTTATTCTTACGCCTCTATAAGAGAAGAATTATCAAGAACAAAAGAGAGAAGAGGCTCAAGAATTTGTTTTTGTTGTAAAAGTTGAATAGCTGGCTCTAATGCATAAATAAATAAGGAGGAAAAAAAAAGAATAAATGCTTTTTTTGTTCCTTTATCTACTGTTATTCCTTCTTTTTGTCCTTTCTCTACCCATCCCCATACTAATTCAACACAAGGCTCTAATAAAGGATCTATTGATCGTTGAGATGCAGCCCCAATTAATACAACAGATAACAGTTGCAGCCCCATGCATGCCTCCACCTGCATGCATGCATGCATGCATGCAAACAAAAAAAAAACAACAAAAAACAAATAATATACTTTTTAGTTAATTGGTATATACACACATACATAACAAATACTCCTTATATATAACAACAACAACAACAGCAGCAACAGAAACAGCAGCAGCAACAACAGCAGCAGACACATAAAAAAGGAGGAAAGAAAGAAAAGTAAATAAATAAACGCGAATAAAAGACTACTAACTAGACAAAAAGAGTAACAAAGATAAAAAAAAAGAATAAATAAATAAATAAATAAATAAATATATATATTGTTTCTTACCTCATCTGCATCATCAATACAAGTCTTAGCCATACGATAGAAACATTCTGGATAAGGAATACCTTCTTGTATCTTTCCTGCAGCAAATGTTTGCTGATCCCTAGCAAGAAAGTTATTTAATACAGGAAGCATTTGCTCTAAATGGTCAGGTGCCCAGCCGTTATGTATACGTGCCTCATTAGTAAGCATCTGCTGCTGCTGCTGCTGCTGCTGCTGCTGCTGCTGCTGCTGGGAAGCTGGACCACATACAGCCTCGTATAATTTATCAAAATAACTCCATAACTTAGGAGGGAAAGGAGTTGGCAAATAATAAGTAAGATAACCTAATATAGATAATGTATCCTCTAGATGGTCAATAGCATCAGGTGTTAATAAGACATCTAATGCAGGGAATAAATGAGGAAGAATCTCTGAATATACATGAGGTGTCTCTGTTATTGTTCCTAATACACTGAAGAAACAAGAGAAAGAAAAACAGCAACAGCAGCAGCAGCAGCAGCAGCAAAAGCAACAACAATGAGTACAGCAACACGGATGCATGCATTGCATGCAAGTCATGATGTTCCCACAGATTCACGAATACATATATATATAGATACATGCATGCACACATAAATACGAGCAATTAAATGCATAAATATATAGGGAGAATATATATATATATATATATATAGATAAGGATAGGAGAGGGGGAGGAAAAAGAGAAAAAGGGGAAAAAGGAGAGAAGAAGAAAGGACGAAGAACGTACGTCTTGAGGGTACTCATAACAGCAATAGATGCAAAACTTGCATCATCTTCTGCATCTGCATCACTATTACGTTGTGCTGCTCCTTCCCTATCCATCATATTAAGAAGAGCAGCAGTAAGTGCAGCAGTAAGATCCCTAGCAAGAGGAGCAATATGTTCCTCATTAGTAATAACAAGTTGCTCAAGGGTAGTAACAAGTTGATCATGATCTATATCCTGCATAAGAGTAAATAATTTTTCTGCTAAATATTTTAGATTAGGTACAATTGTTTGTTGTAGTTCAGGTATATCTACATCAAAGAATGCCTTAATAGATACACCTGCCTGTACCCGTACAGGTAGCTCATGATCACCAAGAAGAGTAAGCATATATTTATATGCCTGTATAACAGGACCTGGATCTGTCCATTGTCTTACACTATCTAAATATACTTCGTATACCCAGCATGCACGCATGCGTAAGAATTTATTAGGCGAACATAGATCAGGTAACACAAAGGATGATAGCATACCCTCTATAGGGGTCTGACGTTTCTTAGATGTTAATCTATCACATATTGCACCTGCAAGCATTAAAGCCCCATCTTTTGCTCGGCACATTTCTACAGATACGCATGCACCTGATGACCCTTCTTGTTGTTGTTGTTCTCCTCCTCCTCCTCCTCCTGCTGCTGCTGCTGCTGCCTCTGTTGCCTGCTTGTACTCTGTGCATACACGGTGTACTGCAACAAGCATAGGCTCAAGGAAATCCTTAGCACGATAACGAACTAAATTCTTCACAAACTCAATTGCTGCAGCACACAACACAACAGCAGCAGCAGCAGCAGCAGCAGCAGCAGCAGCAGCAGCAGCAGCAGGAACAAGAATATGCATGCACATGAACAAAAAAAAAAGAAAAAAACAACCAACTGGATACACAATCATACAGTTAGCAGTACAACTAAATCTAAATACGCAGAGACCATCATAAAAATAAATAAATAAAATAAATAAATAAATAAATAAAATAAATAAATAAATAAATAAATAAATAAATAAATATACCTGCTTCCCTAGGTTGGGAGAATGCCTCTAGAGGATCATTTTGTCTTCTTATGTATTCAACAGGTTCGTTAGCCCAAGTATCCTCATCATCTTGTGAATAATGCATTAGGGGTAAACAAACATTAAATACAAGGAATTGTCCTTGTGGCTTAATAATTGGGGTGTATAGGGAGGCATTCTCTATAGCACGTGATAGATATTGTAGGGTAAGATTCAGCATACGAGGAGAGAGCCATATTTGTTGCTCTTGTTGCTGCTGTTGCTGCTGTTGTTGTTGTTGTTGTTCTTGTTGTATATGCTGCTGTAATAACATTAATAACTCCTCTGTTAATCTTTTTGCCCAATTATTTATAAAATATTCACCAAATGCCTTAGACATTGCATCGCTATCTTTTTCTCCTTTTCCTCTCTCCCTTCTTAGCATCTTTTGGTCACCAAAACGGGTAAATACTCTTTGTACTATCTGTAGTGCCCATTTCTTTGCCTTATATACAGGTAATTGTCCTCTCTCCTCTGTAGATCTACCCGTCAACATTGCTGTAGGTACTGCAGCAAATAAATATAATAATAGGAGCAACAACAGCAGCTACAGCAACACGAGCAGCAGAATACAGAGCATGCAGGCATACGCACCATGAGCAACTTATTATCCATTCATGTATCATCAATGTAAATATATATCCATGTAAATATAAAAGAAATAAAAAGGGAATATAAAAAGAAATATATATTTATATTAATATATATATAATGTTAATATATATATAATGCATGCACAGTGTGTGCATGCACAGTGTGCAGTGCTGCTTACCAGGTAAACGAATACAGGCAGAAAGCAACTCGAACCAATTGTCCATTGTAGACAAAAGAAGAGGAGAATTAGATAAACATAGTTGGGTAGAGGACCAATATATTTTTAGTGCAAATTTAAATAGATTCATAGCCATTTCGTTAGTTGGTCCTCCTTGTTGCAGTAACTCTGCTGCTGTTGGTAACAATAATGGCCATGTACGGTCTATTATACCATCTAATGCCTGTCTACTATCACGACCACGGAACTCATAAGCACCAACTAGCTTGCGTAGTACATTTAATGCACAAAATAGACGAGAAGCTTCGTTAATTGCAGGTAAATCTGCACAAACTTCCTCAAGTATAGATGGCCACCTGCAACATAAATTATCAATAATATAATTATTAATAATCATCATTATAATATATTTTATTCAATTAATAATAATAATAATAAATAATACCTTGTAGATAGACTGCTGTTGGTGGCGAACAGGAATTAGATCCTGTGTGCTGTCTAGTGCAGCATGAAGAAGGATGGCCACCAGTTGCATGCAGGTATAAGGGAAATAAATAACATAGATAGACAGGGAGACATAGATCAATATACAAAAAGCCCCAAAATGGGCATATGCATGCAAAGGAAATACGTTAAAGGCGGAGAACGAGGGGTCTGTAGGTGCATGCAGTGTCTTATGAGCCATTGCATGCATCAGCAGCAGCAGCCACACTGCATGCAGAACAAAATGTATTGAATATGTTAGGATTTATATATGCAAATAGAGGGAAAATAAGAAAAAAGACAGACCTTTCTGGATAATCAATGACGGCAATGATGCGTATACACTCAATAAGCTGGAGGCGAACAGGAGCAGCCTGAGGGCTGAGTGCCTTAATCATAGGGTAAAGACATTGGCGTAACTCTTGCTTCTCCTCTTCTCCGTATACAGCAGCAGCAGGAGCAGCAGCAGCACCTGCACCAGACTGAGACCCGTCAGCAGCATCGCTGTCGCTGTTCTCCCAGTGCTGTCGCACTTCGTTCTTCAACGTCACAGACGCTGCTGTACGAATTGCCAAATCAACCTGTACACACACAAACCCTAAACCCTAAACCCTAAACCCTAAACCCTAACTAAACCCTACCTACATCACATATGCCCAAGTCATAAACCCTAACGGTAGACATGGAGGTGCAGACAATTCTTATGCGGTGTAATCGCTAAGCTTGAGGGGAGGAAAAGTGTATGCAGCTTTCCCCAAACCCTAAACCCTAAACCCTAAACCCTAATCGTACCTCATCATGTCTAATGATGTGCACCAAAGCACTCAGAAGACCCTTTGTTGGAGAGAGCTGAAGAAAAAATAAATAAGAAAGGTAAACAAAGAACTAATTGAACTTTATTTTGCTATATTTATTGTCATTAATTATTTATACTTGCAAAAGAAAAACAAGAAAAGACACAAAAGAGCGCAAAAGGTGCGTTGATGCTCCTTGTTGGTGTTTAGCAAGAAGAGAAATAGATTAGAACAGGGTCCATAAGGAAGAAAAAGAAGGAATATATATAAAATTAATAAAGAAATGCAGATAAAGGAATAAAAAAGAAGAAAAAAAGAAAGAAAAACCTACCGATTTAAGAACCGCCTCTGCTTGGCCTCGTACTTCTGCATCGGGACTATAGGAGGCCTCCAGCACTGTAAGAGAAAAGAGAGAAGAAAGTAACAAAAAGAGAGGCAATAAAGGATAAAATAAGGACTAAGAGGATAAATAAATTGATAAATACAAGGAAAATAAAGCAGAGGAACAAGGAGAAGAGGGAAAACATGAAAAAACAGCACAAAAAAGGGGGGGGAAATCACGAAAAAATACTTGAATGCTCCTCACCTTTGCACAACTGGTCTGGCTGAATTGACATGGTGGGGAGGAGAAGAAAAAAGAGAGAGAAAATAACCTTTTATTTCTTATCTTCCCTTTATTTCAATAATATATTTATACTGTCCTCTTTTTATTGTTCCTTTTTATTACTATTATTGAATGCCTAAGCTCCTGATCGTATTCACGCTGCTGCAACAGCAGGGGCTGGAGGCTCTGCAGCAGAAGAAAACAAAAAAATGCAATTTCTTCTCCGTCTCTACGATTTCTTTGCCAAAGAGACGCAAAAAAACAAGGAAAAATAACTCTATAAAAAGAGGATGCACAACGACTATTCATTCATAGGGGAGGGCAGCAAATGCCCTATGTATGAGGAAAGAAAGCGAATAAAAAAAGAAGTTATAAGGCTGAATCAGCAGGGGAGTTTCTTTGGACAAACAAATGTGAAATTGTTATGATTGAACTTGAGCAAATAAAAGGATAGCTGAATATACACAGCATTATACACAATATAGGGCCCCCCTGTGGCCACTGGAGGAGGAGTTGTGCTTTAATTCATCAAACCCAAGACAAATAAATGAATTAAACATAAAAAAAGGAGGTTTTCATCATCTTTTTTGAATTTAATGGAGAGAAAAGTCGCTGAATAAGACGTGTCTGCGTGCCACAACTACTTGCCCGGAACTCCTGGAAACCTCCAAACTCAAAGGCAAACGGGGGGTATAAAGCTGCAAATGATTAACAATTAAATCAATTTTGCGTAATAATTTAAACAATTCAATATTTGCGGACGACCTTCCACTTGGTATCGAGGAGGCGCTGGTGGGAGTGTTTGGGGCTGGAGAAAGCTGAATGAAAAAAATGCATCGGCGGGCGACGCTGCTCTCTTCAACATAACAACTATTTAATCATTAATTATATTATTTCTCCTAATTTAATTCTTTTTGGACTCTGTGCTATCTTCACTTCTATACATTATGCCGTAATTAGCCACTGCAGCCTAACTAACATGCACATGAACGGGGTTACTTGTTATAGGATGCTGGCACTGTGGGCAGGCGGTCAACGGCGGAGCTGCCAACACGAATTGTAGATAATAATAAATATTTTAATGGAATGTTATGATTCTTACTATATATATAGCTTATTTCACGAGTTTTAAGGGGAAATTCAGCACCGATCTCCGGACTAATTATGTGGATGGGTGGGGCTCTCTCTTGTGTCTGGTGCCTAGGGTCCGTGTTATTCTGTGCCTCTCCCCCTCGCACCACAATAGAATAACGAGTTGTGTGTTCATCCAATGTTTGAACCATTTAGAACATTGCCTGGCGATGTTTCTAAATCTGCTGAGTGTATGCCATCCTGTGGTTAATTGTAACAGGGGAGGAGTTGCATTTCCTGTCTAAAGTTGTTGTTATATGCATTTCTATGTTTGCATACGCTGGATACTGATACACAATGCTAGTTTAGCAATTGTATAAAGTGTTAGTGCATGTACCAGAAGGGGTCTTGTATGTATTTTCTTGTTGCTGCAACGAGAGCTGCCAACCATATCCAACGGCCGTTGCGAGCTGCAGCGCAGTCAAGATACTTGGCATAATGGTTCCTTAAAATACGTTGCCCTCCATGTCTCAGCACATGCAAGAGCATCATACTCAATACTTGGATTACTTAACAGCATAAAGGTGAATATACAGCATGCCTATACACCGCGATGGGTACTTGGACCACTCGTGACACTCTAACATTAAACAATATGAAGCCCAGACACCACACGTCAAAGCATGCGTAGTGCAGCAGAAGAACCTAATAAAAGTTTATGCAGAGCCAACAATGAAATTGTCCCTGAGTACAGCCCCAAGATACCGTTCCTAAGGACGGGAGTGCACTGATGGCTCTTGGATATAATCAGAAATGCATGCATTTCTATAGTTATTTGACCATTTTGCGCACGTATAGTGCAACTGTTTACCAGGTTCTGAATTAGATTACGTTATTCATTGCCACGTTGGGGCTTTTATGAACAAATGCGCATGCAAGGAGAGTACTGCTTACTCGTAAATCATTGTACTAATGCACAATTCTCCTATAGCAATTACCTAAACACCCATTGAAGGTTTTTTTTACGTAAGATGCATGCACTGTTTTCTTCCAATTAGGCGCATATTTTATGCTCTGTGCTCCTCGGGTGTTAACTGGATCAAGCAAAGCCCTCATGAGACAAGATGGGCAAATTGCATGCATTTCTCCGTTATTTCCATTGGCATGTGTACACTGAGGTAAATTTGCACTTACTCCCCTCTTTGTTGCATGTCTTAGGGGTGAGCACAGTGTTGGGCTTCCTTATCGTCACCTTATAGTTTGGAGGCTGCAGACAGTAGCAGCCATCTTTCCTTTCTTTTTCCTGGTTGCTGTGTTCCTTATTAGTATTAATACCCATAGGGTGCGCATGCACGTCACCTTCTTTGCCTCGCTAACCCTCGTGAATTCCCTCTCCTCCTACCAACAGATAATTTGTTGTATTTCTTTATTAGGGGATAATAAGAAAAAACATTTAATAAGGACATTTACCTCCCCTAACTATGAAGAAAAAATTGCCATGGTATTCTATCTATGGATAGCAGCTCCTAGGTAAATAATAGTACCAAGAAACTGCATCGCTATAAGTAAGGGGGGAGGCATCAAGGAGACGACTCGTTATTGGCCATCTCCCTACTAATAGGTTATAATACAGAGATGAATACAAAGGGGAACTGGCAAGAGATAATCTCCTTCTTTTTTTTTCCCCACCATTAATACATTCAATAATAACACAGTACTATACAAGAGGGGAGTGTGTTACTTGGTGGGGTTGTTATACTGCATCTGTACAGCTCTGCTACCAAACGTATTAGCTTGGTACAGTCAATAGATACAAGGGAGACCGATCCTTTTTTGTATAATAATTAGCCTAACGGCAGCCCCCATCTATTGTCTCTATGCAACCCAAGCAGCACTGGAGGTCTGCAGATGCAGGAGAAGGGACGGACGCGCCTCCCCTTAGGTTCAACGTGCTCGCTACTCCCATATGCCTCATGCCTCATACAGTCTAGCTAATGGTTAACCAGTACCTTGGCTATGAGCAAATCTCTCAGCAGCATTCATGTACCCAAGTCTCGATACACTTGACAGTCTCTGGTGTACACCTCACAAGTACTGGCCTCTTTTAGTTCCTTTGTTGCTGTGCTTACCCGCTGCACAACCTCAAGCATAATGAACATGTGCAGGTGCCTCCTGAATACACCCTCTTCCTACAAAAATACCCACACCTTTTATGTATATGTATCAATACAATCATTATATATGCATAAAAATAGAGTACAAGCATAAATGGAGAAGATTAGGACAAAAGGAGAGCATGAAAGGCAGCTGTACCAATATACTAATCATATAATGTACGGTACGAGTTGCTCGAAGCTAAGATGATGCTCCCTGTTGCCTGCACGCCTATGAGGGACTAAAAGCTTCAAATTCCTAATGTCCTAAATAAATTATAATAAATAATTAAAAGTATATAACTGTACATTTGTGCTTTTAATTCCGTCAAAAAGGCGAACTGGTGTGTGTGGTGGACACACACTGGCAGTACCGGAGGAGGCGATCTGCGGCGTGCATAGGAGAGTCCTTGAGTTCTTGTAGTTAAGTATTGACTAGAATTGTTATTTTGAATAAATAATATTTAATTAATTAAATGTGTTTATTTCAAAGGGTTTTCGGGTGTATGTACAGCAGGAGATAGCGGCAGTCGGCTTCCGCACTTCGAAGTGGTGTGCGGCGTTCTGCTTTGAATGGGCTGTGCTGCCACGCCTGTCCTGCTGTTTGCTTTCATCAATTAATTGTTTGTTGTATGGCTTTGAGTCAATAGAATCAATATAAAGAGGTAAAAGATTCTTTTCTGTTCTTTTACCATTTCGGCGAATCCTGCAGAACCGCGCAACAACACCTGCGCATACACCTCAACCGTCCTGACGACGTGATTCTGCACAGCACAACAGGCGTTTATTGTGTTTTGTTTTGTTGATTCTTCTTCGTCTTTGCATACATTAACTAGTTCCCTTCTTGAAGACTTAAGAAAGCATAGCCATTTCTTATTACTTTCTGCTCTCCCTCCTCTTGCAAATGGCGTCGCGTCAGCTGGCGGCCGCCCCGCCCGTCGATGAAGAGCGCGAGTTCCACTTGGGTGTTCTTGGCTCCACAGGATTCGTAGGAAAGTGAGCATATGAGCTGCCTAGACACCTGAATTGTATTCATTTAGGTGTACAGACGGCGGCTGCAGTGCTGTGTGCACCAGCGGTGTGTGCTATAAATACGTGTATTTACTCGTACCCGAGCATATTATAACAGACCACCGCAGGCAGCAGCAACTGCAGCAGCAGCAGCAGCAGCAGCAGCAACACTAGCATTAAATTTTTATCTGCATCATGCCCGTATGTTTCGTGCCTCCGTCTATTGGTGAATTATTACCAGACGTTCAGGTGTATAGGCAGCTAGCTGCTTTCTCCATTGCTTTACTACTTCACTATACATGAATATATATGCTCGTTATGTGTCTTCTTTTGCATGCATTATTCTTCCCCCTTTGCATGCATTATTCTTCCCCCTATACATGAATTATTTCCCCTAATCTTATGCATAATCATTCCCTTCTTTTTTCTTCTTTTTTCCTCTTTTTTTTTTTTTTTTTATTAGATTAATTGCTAATTATCTTTGTGATAATTATGGCAAAAATAGCGGAGTAAAATATTTATTTGGAGGAAGAAGTCCTAACCGTCTACAAGAATTAAAAAAAGAATTAAATAAAAAATATGCAATTAATGAGGAAGAAATACATACTACTGTTGCTGATGTAGATAATTATCAATCTCTTGTTGAATTCACCAAAAGGTAAAAAAAAACAAACCCTAAACCCTAAACCCTAAACCCTAAACCCTAAACCCTAAACCCTAGTTATTAACTGCTGGTGATGATGCTATTGCTTCCCTTATTAAGCAGAGGAGGGTTTAT